GGATATGGCTCAGTGATTGAGTGCCCCTGAGTTCAATCCCTGGTACCTCCCCCTGCCAAAAAAAAGAAGCCAGTGGTGTCATTTGAAGGCCTCAGAGCCACAGGGACTGATGATAACTTTCAGTCTGAGTCTGAAGGCCGGAGAACCAGGAGTGTTAATGACAGGAGAAGGCAACATGCTAGCTGAACGGATTCTCAGTTCCTATGCTTTTTGAGCCCTCAAGAGATTGGATGATATCCACCTGAATTGGGGAGGGCCATCTACCTTACTTGGTCCATGAATTCAAGTGTTAATCTCTCCTGGAAATGCCCTGACATACCATAAATAATATTTCAGGAGATATTCAGGCATTCCATGGCCTAGTCAAGTTGATAAAATTAACTATTATAGTAAGATGTGGGTATGAACTTAAATATTAAATACATTATGCAAATTGACTATATTTTCCAATAAAAAGACAGACTGTCTTGGTGAAGAGAATAGTTCTATGAACATTATATTAAATGTAAATGGGATAAATTTTCAAACTGAAGGACAAAAACTATCTTTGTGAGGAGAATTATGTGAAGACATCTATATATCTATATGTCTCTCACTATATATGTTTGGAGGTGTTAAAGAGAACTTCTGTCCACCTCCAAACATATACCTATAGCTTTCTAAGATTTCAGAGGAGAAAAGGATACCTCAAACAATAAAAGGTGGGGAAAAAACAAGGGAAAGGAAAAAAAAACAGGGAGACTACAGGCTATGATGACTTAAATACAATCTAGATATGAGACCTTTATTAGCTAAAAAGCATTACTGGTTTTCTGCTGCTAATGTAGATTTACCTTCTGTCATGGTTTGGATATGTGATGTCTCCCAAAAGCTCATGTCTGAGACAATGCAAGAATATTCAGAGGTAAAAATGATTGGGTTATGAGAGTTATGAATTGATGAGTGAATTAATTAATCCACTAATATTGACTAACTGGGCAGTATCTATAGGTAGGTAGGATGAAGCTGGAGAAAGTAGATCACTGGTGGTGTGCCTTTGGAATTTATATTTTGTCCCTGGTAAGTGAAACTCTCTTTGCTTCCTCATGGCCACGTTCTTAGCCACTTTCCTCCACCACATTCTTCCTCCATGATGTTCTGCCTCATCTTGGGCCCAGAACTGTAGAGTTAACCATTTATGGACTGAGACTTAGACCTCTGAAACCATGAACCAAACAAACATCTCCTTCTTTAAAATTGTTCGTATCAGGTCTTTTGGTCATAGCAGTGACCAAAAAGCTGATTACAAAACCTCCTTCAACTAGCATTCCCTGACCATTGCCCTCCCATATTCCAAATCTCCATTCCCCTCCTAATAGTATCTGTTCATGTGCACTCATTTGGATAGCAGCTTCCTTCCATTTTCTAACAAATGAAAAATAAGGAAGTTTACGCTAATAACTAATACTATGGGGTGATAGTTAAGTAGAGATTCTGGAGCCAAACTACCTGGATTTGAATTCTGTCTCTGATATCTCCCTTCCATATGACCTTTGGCAAATCATTTAAGCCCTTAGTTTGTTTGTCTGTAAAAAGAGAATAATAATATGGGATGTTGTGATGATAAATATGTAAAGTATTTAGAAAAGTGACTGACAAATACGTGCTATGTAAGCACTATTAGGATTGTTACTTTTATTATCAATATGGAGGTTATGATATAACATTTATTCTTTGTTTGATCTTGTGAACCTAGTTACAGTCCCTGCACCTGGACAGTTTAGGGTCCAAAACTGATGGAACCATTCAAGGAAGACTCTTTGGGACAGGATTGGAGAGTTGTCCCTTTTCATCACTTCTGTGTTGTTTTGGCATCCCCAGCACTGGAATGTTTGGGGACTCTCTGAGGCAACACTTTATCATGCACTCTTTGTTATTGTGATAGGTGATGGCAGCAATGAGGAAGTGAGGAGAGTGGAAATATCTGTGACTCTCACTAACCAATTTTTGTAGGTACTTAGGAAAAACTATTAGAAATTTGTAATGTACTACTTTGAGGACTATCAGAAATAAATGGGGGAAATTTTGAAGGGAGAATAAAGTTCTATATTATGATGATGAAGTTATCATGCTGGCAGTTGATTTTAATTCCTCACCTTTAAGATTGATTTTAGGGAGAACAATCTTACCTTTTGACCCACATCCCTTTGGACCAACACTGACAAATGGTCTAGAACCTAGACTTACAATTGCAATACTGCATTCTTATATGCTTCTATGATTAGAAATAAATGATTAGTAATAAAATGAATTACATATATAACTATAGATTCAATTGTGATTTTAAAAAAAAGAATTTGAGAGTGTTTAAACACAGCCAGGCATAGTGGCACATGCCTGTAATCCCTGTGGCTTGGAAAGCTGAGGCAGGAAAATTGCTAGTTCAAAGCCAGCCTCAGCAAAACTTAGAAAGGCCCTAAAGCAACTTAGTGAGACCCTATCTCTAAACAAAATTTAAAAAATACAAAAAAGGTTTAGGGATGTGGTTAAGTGTTTAAGAACCCCTGGGTTCAAAACCTGATACCAAAACAAAACAACAACAACAACAAACAAACCCCCCAAATAAAATAAAAACTACTGCAAGCTTATCATCAATATTGTTAAAACAAATCAAGGTTGAAGACTATATAAATATTGGGCCAATATGATGTTTTAGCATGGAAAATGTACTTTCTCCCCCTTTTAGAAATAAATTATTAGAAAAAAGAAAGTCATAAAATAGATTATTGAACCATATATTTCAATTTATTTTTTTTATCATTTTACCAGGTAAATCTTATGTAATTTATTGCACTAACCCTATAAGAATCATGTGGAAATGGGAAAGAATGTTAATGGAAACATTTCCAAAAGGAAAGGGGAAAAAAAGAATTTCCCAAAAGGATGCAAATGCTCTTACCAGAAGACAGGGTAACATGCCAGGTAGCCAAAAACATAGTTAAAGCCTACATAATTAGATAAAGAAAGGCAAAATATAAGTTATATAAAATATTGCATTCCAGTAAAATCTATGTGGACCACATAGTAACATGAGTAGTGGTCATGAAACATTGTTAAATAAAAAGGAATTCAGAAGAGAAAATATACTTAAAACTTTGGAATATGAGAAAACAACTTTTTACTTTGTGGTAATGAAATAATGGATATTAAAATTTTAAATTAATTAATGTATTTATGAAAAATACATTAAAAACCAAAAATTTCAAAGAAAAGATTCTTCCTTCTGCTTTTAAGTAGGGAGTTGTTTTTTTTCACATGAGAATTTGCTCTCCAAGTAATTGTTTGGTTAACTGGAAACTGTTGATGAGATCTCTGAATCTTTTCTTGGACTATTTACTGCTCCTGTTCCAGATTGAAGAGCTTGGTGACCATTTGCAATGCTGCGGCTGTTGCTGCACAAACACTAACAGTGTGACATGACTGCTATCACATACTACCACTCAATACTGCTCTCAAAATTGAAGTAGCTAAGGTGGTGTAAAGGGAGGTCTCACCTTTGCCAGAAGCCACTGATCTTTTCAAGACATTGTTTGCCACAGTCTTGAACCTGGATGGATCCTCAGAGTGAAGGGAAGACCACTCCTCTCCCCAGTATTATCCTCAGTCCAGTGCAGACTAATATACAAACATGTGATGACCACAACAAAAATACTTCTGCATGGATCCCAGAATTTTAGTTCCAGTTAATCCACTGTGTTTCTGCTTTCCCTCCCCACCCCTCTCTTTCACACACACACACACACACACACACACACACACACACACTATTCCATGTGACACAAGGAAATAATTGAATATTGAAACAGTTGTGAACATAAGGCAGACCAGAAGAAGTAGTTGTGATTATAATAATCTTTGTGGATGTGAAAGATTTGGAAAAGGGGCTGTCCTTTCTGAGTTTTTGACACTAAGCATGTTAATTTATAATAGTATGTGTGTATGCTTGTATGTTTGTATTTGTGAGGGATGGTTTTATTATGTTTTGAATTATGGAGGACCTAACAAATAGGAAAGAGGCAGATTTGCTTTGTGTAAACATAGCCCTAATTATACTAGTACATGGAAGCTGACCATCCTTATGCTCAATAATTTCACAGCTTAATATTCTCAAGTATTTTGAAGTTTGTTTCATTTTATTATACCAGTAAACTGCATACACATTCCATCTGCCTAACTTTGCTATGTACATTTCATCCCAGGTCATATGGCCCTCTGTTCACATATTGTAGTTCACCTAAATGCCCTGTTTCTGTTTAAATACCAGGTGGTATGACCAGCTATCCCAGTCTGTCTGAGACTGAGGGAGTTCTCAGGATTTTCAATGCCAGGACAGTCCTGAACAAACTGGGAAGAGTCAGTCACTCTAATCTCAGGTCTGCATGAAGCCTTTGTCAATTTATTCCCAGTCATGCTAAACTGACCTTCAGAAATTTGTTTTTGCATTTAAATACTGATAGTTTTATGAGCTTAATAATTATATATATATATAATTTTTTTAGATAGATAGGTAGTAGTTTGCAAGTTTCTTGAGGTTAGGGCCCATATCACTTTAAGTTTTTTCTTTTCGAATACATAGAGTACTAGTACTTAATAAAGTGAATCTAAGAATTTAAAATTTTTACTTAGGTGTTTCAAGCATTATACAATCTTTCTTCTTTAATTTAATTAAGTAAAGCAATGAAGCTTAGTGGTTATAAATGTGAATTTAAATTCCCAACTTGTTGATTATTTGACTTTGGGCAAGTTCATTAATCTTTCTTAACCTCAATTTCTTAAGAGTGTAAAATGAAGATAAAAATACTACCTACTTTCCCATGATATTGTAAGCCTTAAACAAAATGTTAATTAAGACTATAGTATTTTGTTTAGCACATAGCCCACAATTAGTTATTATGTGGCAGTTGTTAATAAGTGATTGTAAATCAACTCATAGGTATTTTTCCATGGTTTGTTTCTTTCAGGGAGTTTATGTTATCCCAGGCAAAAGCAGTTATTAAAACTACTGATGATTATTTGCAGCCTCAGTTTGGCCCCGACAGACTTTTGCATTCAGCGGCAGTATCAGAAGGGTCAGGATTTCAAGATTGCTGTACACATCAAACAGCATCAGATCACAGCCATGAGGAAATATCAAACCCAGATAGCTACAAATCAAACAGTAAAAACAATTCTTGTTTTATATCAGCATCCAAGAGAAACAGACCTGTCAGTGCTCCGATGGGTCAACTGAGGTAATCAAAGCTGTTCTCTGTTCTTTTTAACCAACTGTTGAAGCTTTTTCTTTTGAGCAGAATTTATAGTTATTCAGCTAACTATTTCAGACATTAAAAGATATCATATCTCTTGGGTCTTGTTTCTGGTTTTGTTTGTTTTTTTCCTTTGAAAGCACCAGAGTAGAATGTTGCTAATTACATTGTGGAAAACACGAGGTACACTTCAACCTGGGTTATCTGAAACTGAAAAGATTATTTGAAGCAAAATCAGAATAGGACCAGGAAATATCTTTGCTTTCAGGATATTTATTTTAAAGTAGAAATGCCTATTTTAGATATTTAACCAATATTTTGACAACAGAATGGAACTGATATGAACTTATTATAAAACCATTTCGTATATATGTTTTCACATCAAGATTGTTCTCCTAAACCATTAACCTCAGAGTAAAGAGACAGAATATATTGGTTAAAAACTAAAGAAACAGATACTCCCATTACTTTTAGGTGTTTGAATATTTGGGTTTGAATATGTTGTGATTTTAGCTTACCCAAAGTTTTTAAGATGTGGACTTGCTTCTGTGGCATTGCAAATTAACATGATGGGAAAATTCTGGAGTTGAAAATTTGTTTGCCACTTCACCATATACTTTTGACAAGAAAATAATAAAGATAAAACTGGTTTTAACTGAAGACAAAACTTGGAATATCAATTTTTACTGCTCCCAAACAGTTTGAAATGCAGGCAATTCAAATAATATAGCATTAAAGTTTTAGTTATAAAAATCTATCTGAATTTAATAAAAAAATCAAAGAACTGTCATACACACAAAAACTTGTGGAAAATTTTAGCCATTTACTATTTTAAGACATTAAGACTACATTACTATTTTTTGCTCTTAGAACATGGCAGATCTAGCTATTTAATTTTTCAGATATACAATGTTAAAATGAATATTATAGTGTTTTATAAGTAAAATGATAAAAAATCATTAATTCTAAGATAACTGTTTTGTATAAGCCAGTTTGGCACACTATCCTATTTTAAATGTTTTTGGATATTTAATAGTGACAGTCTCTTTCCATAAAAAGCTTTGTTGGGGAACACTTACATACAAGGAACAATCTTTAGGGCTTATATTTTTTTTAAAAGTTTATGGTAAGTTTTATTTAAAAGATTTTAGTAATTAACATGCACCATTTTTTTTGTGTTCTTTTGTTGTTTTCTTTTAGAGTTTTAAAGTCCTCCTCTCTAAAATTTCAGTCCACTCAGAATTGGCAAAGATTGTCTCAAAGGTACAAACTTCAACCAAGAGTGATTAAAGTAACAGCTTACAAAAATGGATCTAGAACAGTCTTTGCCAAAGTTACTGCTCCAACGGTCACCTTGGTAACTAATGTTCCAAACTTTTTAGCACTTTATTTTCTCCCTTGCTCTTTTTATGGTATTAAAAAATGAAAGATGACACTTAATTGTATTACGATTTTGTTTTTATCAATCCGAACCTGTAAATTGCTTACATGTGTGGGTCTCACAGTCATTTCAGTCCTTTACTTTTTAAAAAATCAATATAAACACTAATTAATTAAACAGATTAATTATTAAACAAATCCAATGACATTATATTTTGTAGAGTTATTAAAATGACAGATCTTAAGTTGAAGGATTAAAATTAGATCATAATTAGATATTCTTGGTGCTTTAATTTACCTTTTATTTCCATATATTTAACTGCTAGAAAATAACTACAGTATATGGGTTGAGTTACTAAACTTGGCAAGTGACTCACTTGGGCTTCTGTTTTGATTGTTAGAACCTTTTGTTTTATGGAAATGTGTTACTTTCTTTCTCATAAATCACTTTGTTTTACCTCTTGTTTTCTTCTAGTTGCTGGAGGAGTGCACAGACAAGCTGAATCTGAACATGGCTGCACGACGAGTGTTCTTGGCAGACGGCAAGGAAGTCCTCGAATCTGAAGATATACCCCATGAAGCTGATGTTTATGTTTCAACGGGAGAGCCCTTTTTAGATCCATTCAAAAAAATTGAAGGTAAAAAAGGGGGAAAAAACCCTATCCCCCATACATAGTAAATTGCTTAAGGGGTGCAATTAAAAAATGATTTTCATCCCATCTTTTTTGCATGGTTTAACAAAACTAATGTTTACGCATTTACAGCTCAGTAAGAGGATAATGTGCTTAATGAAAGAAAAATCCACTGACAGCCACGTTTATTGCCCTTCATTAGCATTGGTGCTTAATTTAATATAGATCTGAATAGACATTAGGGAGCCTGCAGGAGGTTAAATGGTGAAAATATAATAAATTAAATCAGAGATTATTGAATTTACTGTTTAGTTTCTGTGACACTCAACAGACATAATTCATTAGACTTATCTTCTCAGAAATTAGTTCAAAGTTTCAAGTATCATTTATTCACTTATACTCTTGGTTCTTTTTCAGATGGCAATCCATAACTATGAAAATATGGCCAGTAATGAAAATATAATTCTTATATACATGTGATTCTCCTAATAATTTTTTTTCCAAGGTACATGCAGAAGCTTGATTTAAAAAAAAAAAAAAAATCTTGAAATACATTTGCATGTGCCTGTGCACACACAGAGACACACACACCTATATGTATAATCTCAGAACAGATTTTCTGGTCAGGTTTTTTTTAAAAGTGCATTGTTTTTAATTATTCAGAAATGTGAGGATTTTCTAAAATTAAAACTTTTTTTTAAATGTATCCTTTGTGATTGAAATGTATCCAGTATCCAGTATCTAAGAATATCCTTCAAAGCATTTTGTACCCAGAGTTTGTTATCAAGTGCTATGTATGATAATCAGATTTAAATAACATAAAGAATAAGAACTTTGCCATAAAAATTCAGTGTTTCTAACTGCTATACTCCCTTATGATTTTTATACTGTATTAGATGTAATTTTTTCTGCAGATCTATAAAGCTGGTGAAGCAAAGGCAAGTCTAGGCAGTAATTGCATAAGTAGGAGAAAAGTAATTTTGGAGTTTATTACAGATGAGGTGATGAGAATCCCTCTTGTATTAATGTTATTATATAAAATAATGTTAAGATTTCTATCTTTTTGATAATACTTGATCATAAGAAAATAAGTAATTTCTTGAATTCGATAGAAAGTTCAAGATAATTTGGTCTTTGTAAAGAAACTTGTTGCTGTAATATTCATTAAAAATTCCCCCATGTGATCATGTAGACCTACATTTTTGCTTTAACTTTAAAAAATAGCTGATTTTATTTTGTATTCATTGAATAATTTGCTTATGAATGATGAATCTTAGTGAATAAATGCATTTCTATGATTTTTTTAAAGTCAGAAGTTTATGTAATGGTTACTTCAGTAAGAACCTTGATCATTTTATTATTTGTCTTTCATATGAATAATGGTATTATAGAAGAGAGATGCATAAAAATATTTATAGCTAAGCTAAAACGAAAATTTCCTGGACATGTATGCCCAAAATAATAATGTCACATATATGACTAAACTTTTTCAATGATTTTTAAATGTATGAACTAATTTTCTCCTACTTTTTGTTTCTCTTTTATCCTTTGAAAAGCCAAGTCCAGGACAAAAACTTCTCTGCTTTGTCTGCATATCTTTGGCTGTGTTTCACTGTGACATGCACTGCTGTTCTTTTAGCACCAAAATGTTGGCACACACTCCTGAAAATTTCACACCATCTCTTGCTGGATCAGCAAGCTTAACCCACCAAAATCTGGTGTTGTGCAATGGTTTTTGACTGATAATCAATCTTTATGCTGCTCGACAGTTGTTGCTGGGACACGGAGTAGAGCAGGTGGCAGATGTGTCTTGTCTTTTGAGAAAAGAAATTGTAGGTGAGCTTGGACACAGACTAGCATATCACATGTCCATTAAAAGGACTTAGGATAAGTATAATGGGGAAAAGTCCCTCATTTAAGTTAAGCTCATAGATAATAAGCCTAAACACTGATATTTGATTTCATTCAAAACATTAAACATATAAATAAATGTAAATATATAGCTAAATATTACCTTTCACATATATGTATGTATGTAGGTGAATATTTAACTTGATGTGGGTGATGTCCACATATTCACATATGCTTTTTTATATCATCTAAATCAGATTTAAGATAACCTTTTGAACATGTATTATAGATTTTTCAGCAATTTGTGAACTTGTTGTCAAAAATATACCATAAAAATAAAGCATGTTTGAATAACTTTGAAGATAGTAGATACATTTAAAAGAAGAGGAGGAATTATCAGAAGTTGGAAATTTTAATATGCTAAAGGTAAAGCATGGAAAAATAAGACTTGATGTTGCTGCTATAACTTTCTAAATGAGCATGAATATTTTGTATAAAATCAGCCAAAAAGCATTAGAGTAGGTAACTGGCCAATATTTCAAGTTACTGATATTTGTTCATGCAGCAATTTATTAGAACCTACTATGTGCCAGGTAATAGGCCAGATCAGAAACAAAGTGGGGACTTATGATGCTGATTTCTTTTTTTTTAAATTATTCTTCTTTTACCTCTGATTTCAATTCAATTTGTTAAAAAAATTTAAATCAGTAAAATTTTTTGTTGAATACTTACTGTATATCTGTGAGGAACCTAAACTGTGGGGTAAATAAATTATAAATCCTTAAAACTGAGAACACTGTTCAACAATGTAAATCAAAGGGGTCCTTTACAGAAAAAATTACCTTATTACTGCCACAAGAAGGCCAAATAAGACAATATATATTTAGGCAACTGTATTTCAATATCTCATTGGTTTCCCTGTGATTTAGAAAATCAGTGTAAATATTGAAAATTTCCTGCTATTAGAAAATAATTACAGATTTACTAAGATAGGGAAAAAAAAGCCAAACATCTCAGATTTTTTAAAAAACTATTTTACTGTCCCTTTTGGACATCACTGTAGACAACTAGAGGCACTGCATTTAATAGAAAGCCAGAGAGCTATTCATCATATTACTTTGAAATACAAAGCTTTCATTTAGAGGTCAGGATAAGGTCAAGATTGACATGAAGCATTCCATGTTGCAATGCAATATTAGAGTAATTCTTAGATTTTGAAGTTGAATACCTGATCATGAACATGAATTGTATATGGAAAAAATCAGAAAATAGGAAATTTTATATAGAAAATTATAGATGAAAATGTTTTGTGGTTTTATAATTCTGGAATTTAAAGATTCTGATATTTATTAGTCATTCTGGAATTGGGAAGGTGTAGTTAATGAATTGTTATAAAAGACATTTCAAAAATTTTCATTTTCAAAAAAGAGTCTTCAGTTTCATGGGATTTATTCACAATTTCCTGAAGCTTCTGCTTAATGGTAGTACAATGAAAGTTCTTGGATGAGATCCATACATTTTATAAAAGTTCAGCCCCTTTATAACTGCTAGGAGATATTGGCAATGCAAATATAGCATAAGGAATGGTTTGTGCCCAGTGATTAATTAAATATCTTAAATAAAATAGGGGGGAGGATTTGTTTAGACCCAATTCATTACCTAATGAGTTTTACTGCATGGATTTCTTATTGTCTTTAAATTTTTTTAGTTTTATATTTCCACTATTTCCTGTATATCCTACTCCACTATTTGGCTTTCAGAATTATCATTTACAGTGATACATTTCAGTCCTGAGGTTTTTTAACCAGAAGTGAAACTGAGTATTATAAATAAGATTCTACATCTTTTAAATACTGTATTGTGAAGATGTAGTAACAGGAAAAAAAAATCCATGAAAGGAGTTCTTGATAGTACACCTAAGATCTAAATTTAAACCTTAAGATTTTCTGCTAGCTGCCATGTGATCTACAAAATGAAATAATTTGCTGTGACAGCTTGTGATTGACAAGAATATGTGTGAGCATATTTAAAATAGGCCATCTTTTCATGTAGAATTAAATGTCAGTGAAATGATGGATTCTCATCATTTTAATTATTGATGATTTGGAAATATTTCAATTCCATGACACACAGGACACATTCTAAATAGCAGCATAACACTTTTTCTCATATCTGCTTCAATAATGAAATGTTCTGTCATATTTTGTTTTTCAAAAAATGCATTAGTTTAATGAACCTGGATTCATGTGTTATATTCTGGTTCATTATATGTTTACTAAGGTTGTTGTTTTTAATAGTTGTGTTAAAAGCACAAGTGTCAAGAAGCAACCCACTACTCATATCACACCACATCTTGCTATTTCTCCTTCTGGATCTAACACAGAATGCAGTAGTGTTGCCTACACCAATGGCTGCTTCATCCTGCTAAAGCTAATACTTAACTTCATGATGCCTATCTATAGGGCAAACACTAATTTATTTAAGCAGCTAAAGGAGTTAGGGTTAGTTTTCCCAAATTTATTTTTATAATTTGGTTTCAATAGAACATATGCTAGGTGATTTTGTTGTTCATTTTATCTCCCACTTGGCTGTGTATACTCAAAAGTAGGAAACTTGCAACACAGAGAAGGAAAAGATTCTTCTGTCTATTAATATAGATGAAGATAAAGTCATAAGCATGTATTTCATGTGTTTCCCTCTTCCAAAGGCTTTAAATCTGTAGTAAGGGTACTATGTAAATAGAAGTGGATTTGAAGACAATTGCGAGAGACCAAAGGGGGAGAAAAGGGACGTTAACCAGTAGGAAAACCTAGAGCATTTGCATGTGGTTTACAGCTTCCCCTCATACTGTCAAACATGAAATCACTGAGAAACACCTAAATTCTTAAGATAATCATGAAATATTGAATTAATTATACATATACACAAAGGATATACTTATTTAATGAAGATGCCTACAAACATACTATATTCCTGATAATTTGAATGGTTGGGTTTCTGTATATCATGTACCCAGTTATGGCTTTAAGTTTGTTAGGTGTACTCCTTATAACCCCTGAGTTAGTGTTACAAATCCATAGTCCCTTATCTGTAATTCCCAAACTCAAGATTGTAGAAATCCAAACAGCTTTACCTTATTTACTATAACTAATCAA